TTGTATAATTTTCCCTTTTGGGGCTTTTTTCCTATTTAAGCGTATTTATGGGTTGAAAGTTGATAACAACAGCTGTACAGGAGAGTGCGGTCCACAACAAAAGTGTAAATAAGAACCCGCAGACATGTACAATTGACCCATTGATGCTCCAAAAAGCTTGGTTTAGGAAGGGCTTTTTGACTTTTTGGCTTTTTTGACTTTTTTTGTGAGAAAAGAGTGTAATGATTATGGGTTGGATGTGATGTTTTGTTTTTTGTGGCTAAAATAGCGTATTTTGTCTTTTGTGGCTAAAATAGCCAAAAAAATCCCAAACTCTTCTTGCCAAACGAACCCTTAAGCGTATTTATGGGTTGAAAGTTGATAACAACAGCTGTACAGGAGAGTGCGGTCCACAACAAAAGTGTAAATAAGAACCCACAGACATGTACAATTGACCCATTGATGCTCCATAGCAATTGTTTCTTAGAAGACATTGATTTTGGTCCACTATGAAAGATTAATTTCCATCCTAGTGCCGTCTTGTAAACTTCACCAAGTCTTTCAGTGTCACTGTTTCAACGAAAACTGAGATCTTTATAATTTTTAATTTTATTTTTATTTTTTATTTTTTATTTTTGTTTTTTGTGTCTGATGATCTTTTTACATTGGCCTTGGTCCATTAGAGCTTGAATCTATATTAATTATGATGTGATATTACCGTTTTACTGAAAACATTGGTTCGGCTCACTTGATATTTTGAATCTATTGATCTATTTAATAGATCTTTTGGGGCTTTCTTTTTACTAACGTGTTTATGGGTGAAAAGTCGACGTAGCTGAGTAATGCTAGAAATTCTTAAAATATCATTTTTTTCATTTATCAATATGAAATAAGTTTTTAACGAGTTGAATGCCAATCAAAAGTAAAGTTTTTTTTATTATTATTATTTTCTATTTTTTGACTCGTTAAGATCTCCTCTAACCTAGATCTAAGACAAAAGGGGAAAATGATCATTCTCAACACCTCAAATAGGACTTGAACTCAAAACCTTTACTATGAGAGTTCTAAGACAAAAGGGGAAAATGATCATTCTCAACACCTCAAATAGGACTTGAACTCAAAACCTTTACTATGAGAGTTCTAAGACAAAAGGGGAAAATGATCATTCTCAACACCTCAAATAGGACTTGAACTCAAAACCTTTACTATGAGAGTTCTAAGACAAAAGGGGAAAATGATCATTCTCAACACCTCAAATAGGACTTGAACTCAAAACCTTTACTATGAGAGTTCTAAGACAAAAGGGGAAAATGATCATTCTCAACACCTCAAATAGGACTTGAACTCAAAACCTTTACTATGAGAGTTCTAAGACAAAAGGGGAAAATGATCATTCTCAACACCTCAAATAGGACTTGAACTCAAAACCTTTACTATGAGAGTTCTAAGACAAAAGGGGAAAATGATCATTCTCAACACCTCAAATAGGACTTGAACTCAAAACCTTTACTATGAGAGTTCTAAGACAAAAGGGGAAAATGATCATTCTCAACACCTCAAATAGGACTTGAACTCAAAACCTTTACTATGAGAGTTCTAAGACAAAAGGGGAAAATGATCATTCTCAACACCTCAAATAGGACTTGAACTCAAAACCTTTACTATGAGAGTTCTAAGACAAAAGGGGAAAATGATCATTCTCAACACCTCAAATAGGACTTGAACTCAAAACCTTTACTATGAGAGTTCTAAGACAAAAGGGGAAAATGATCATTCTCAACACCTCAAATAGGACTTGAACTCAAAACCTTTACTATGAGAGTTCTAAGACAAAAGGGGAAAATGATCATTCTCAACACCTCAAATAGGACTTGAACTCAAAACCTTTACTATGAGAGTTCTAAGACAAAAGGGGAAAATGATCATTCTCAACACCTCAAATAGGACTTGAACTCAAAACCTTTACTATGAGAGTTGGATAGCATACCATAGTGGTACAGAGTCATGGGTCATAAATATTAATTCCAATCTACTTGAATTGATTGCTTCGAAAGTTTCTATAATGAACCAACGATAGGCTACAATTGACCCATTAGCGGCCCATAGCAAAAAAAATAATAATAATAATTTTGGGAGTAATTAAGTCGTAAAATAAAGACAATGAAATATATACATTTACAAGAGACATACCACCCAACTTGTTCTTACAGTCCTAAGCAAAATTCTACACTACTCCCTAAGATAGGGTGGAGATGTGCACATTAAATATCCTAAAATAAATATGAACAATCCTTGCACATTCCGCAATGTCCCGTACGTATTAGAAGGCATTTGCCCATGTATCAACATTTCCTAGTTGCACCGACTATCGAAGAGATAGATGGAAACTGGCGAGAGATATAAGGGCAAATTTCAACTAAATAAACACAAAAGCAAAAAGGTACAAGCCCCATAGCAACACAACTAATAGATCGGAGAATCAAACCAGACACACCACATCCCTACCAACCAGTGAACTCGAAGCGCCTAGTTCCTCCCATAGCTCCTCAAAGGCCTCAATTCCCATACTGGAAGTGGTCTAAGAACTGCCACAGAAAGTGTCACGTGAAGCAACAAGTCAACAGAGTGGTAGGTAGAAAGCATGTTGGCTAATCCTGCAGCCCATCAAGAACCACTTTTAACCACCGAAAACCCACCCAAAACACAGATAACCCACACCTCCCAGTCTCTACTGAAGAGAAAATAGGAACCCAATAAGCACCCGCTTCCTCATAGCCGTAGCCACTGAACCAAACTATGTCGAAGGGAAAAATATGGCTCACAGAACTCCCCAGTTAAGGCACAATGAAGGATGCGAATAAACCAGTGAATCTCCAGAAGGTCTTCCCATAACAGAGAAAACATAGCCACACGAAAGACAGGTAATCCACAAAAAAGAGCCAATCGAAATCCGTTAACTCACCACACATCTACCAGTTCCAAGCATGGCTAATTCCACACCTCCATTCCTCATGTCAGCGTCCTCACTCCATACCGGAAGGGGTCAGAGAACCAGCTCTAGTAAGGATCACATGAACACGTGCAGGTTGTCAACTAGGGCTGCAAATAAACAGAGCCGTTCGTGAACAGGCGCGAGCTCGGCTCAGTAAGAGCTCGTTCGAACTCAGTTCGTTAATTTTTTTTTTGCGTTCGAGCTCGAGCTTGTTAAATTTTTAATAAACAAGCCCAAATATTTTAAAACTCGGCTCGTTAGCTGGCTCGTTTAATATTTATTATTTTTATATTAAATAATATAAAAATATGTATAAAAAAAAAATATGCTATTTATATTTTTAAAAAATATAAATGTAAATAACAGTTAATTATAGATAGTACATTTATATAATAGTGGTAGTAGATATTATTATTTTAGTAAAATATGAACTTTTTTTAAGTATATTTATATATATTGTATATATAATTGTATATTCAAAATTTTAATTGTAACTTTAGTCTCATATGCAAGTATGAATTTATAAATTTTTTGGCTCTTAAAGACTCATAAACAAGCTCGAGCTCGAGTCAAGCCTAAGTCAACTCGGCTCGAGCTCAGTTTGTTAAATTTTTATTGAGCTCGAGTTCGAATTCGAGTTTGTTAAAATATTAATAATTAAGCCCAAACATACTAAAACTTGGCTCGGCTCGGTTCGGCTTGACTCGTTTACAGTTAGGGCTGCAAATGAATAGAGTCGTTCGTGAACAAACTCGAGCTTAGCTTAGTAAGAGCTCGTTCGAACTAGGTTCGTTATATTTTTTTGGTGTTCGAGTTCGAGCTCAAGCTTGAACTCATTAAATTTTTAATAAATAAGTCCAAATATTCTAAAACTCAACTCGTTAGCTAACTTGTTTAATATTTATTATTTATATATTAAATAATGTAAAAATATGTATAAAAAATAAGATAAATATGTTATTTATATATTTTAAAAAATATAAATGTAAATAATAGTTAACTATATATGGTACATTTATATAATGGTAGTAGTAGGTATAATTATTTTGATAAAATATTGACATTTTTTTTAAATATTTATATATATTGTATATATAATTGTATAATCAAAGTTTTAATTGTAATTTTAGTATCATACGCAAATATAAATTTATAAATTTTTTGGCTCATTAAGACTCGTGAACATGCTCGAACTCGAGTCATGCCTAAACCAACTCGGCTTGAGCTCAATTTGTTAAATTTTTATTGAGTTCGAGTTCGAGCTCAAATTCGTTTAAATCTTAATAAATAAGTTTAAACGTATTACAACTTAACTTGACTCGACTCGTTTGCAGCTCTATATAAAAGTAGTAAGTGTTTTAGTTAAATTATAATTGTTTTTAAAAAAACTCCAAAATTTGACATGTATAATAAAATAACTCTTAAACTTTTGATTAATTTTTAATTTAAACATCGACCTATTTTCATCATTAAATAAAATGATCAAAAAAAAATTAATCATTAAATTTAATAAAAAAATATTTTTTAAAATATTTTAGTTACATTAAATTTATTGACAAATACTATTTTCTATCCATTTACTTTACAAAATTAAATTAATAATTTAAATTAAAAATAAACTTAAAATTTAAATTAATAAAATTCAAAATTTATTTTATTACTAGAGTTTAACTCTGACTTTTTTTTCTTAATTTCCCCTAAATTAATATTATATTATTGTAGACTAGCTTATGTACAATACCATACCAGAAAAAAAAAACCAAAAAGATAAATTATTAATAAATTCTACTAGCTAAACTTAATTCTTATCAAGTCCTATTGAAAATTGACATGGGTAAGCTCATAAAGGTTATAGCCCACCATTTAGGACCCAATACATAATTCAACTACTAAAGCCCAACGTTGCTGGAACTCAACATGACATTAAGAACCAATAGCATCTAAACACGTGGCAAAGGAAGGACAAGCCACATAAGCAGACAAAGATCCTGCAAAGTTATTGCACTAGGGGACTAACAAATTCTAATAGGGGACTAACAAATTCTAATAGGGGACTAACAAATTCTAATAGGGGACTAACAAATTCTAATAGGGGACTAACAAATTCTAATAGGGGACTAACAAATTCTAATAGGGGACTAACAAATTCTAATAGGGGACTAACAAATTCTAATAGGGGACTAACAAATTCTAATAGGGGACTAACAAATTCTAATAGGGGACTAACAAATTCTAATAGGGGACTAACAAATTCTAATAGGGGACTAACAAATTCTAATAGGGGACTAACAAATTCTAATAGGGGACTAACAAATTCTAATAGGGGACTAACAAATTCTAATAGGGGACTAACAAATTCTAATAGGGGACTAACAAATTCTAATAGGGGACTAACAAATTCTAATAGGGGACTAACAAATTCTAATAGGGGACTAACAAATTCTAATAGGGGACTAACAAATTCTAATAGGGGACTAACAAATTCTAATAGGGGACTAACAAATTCTAATAGGGGACTAACAAATTCTAATAGGGGACTAACAAATTCTAATAGGGGACTAACAAATTCTAATAGGGGACTAACAAATTCTAATAGGGGACTAACAAATTCTAATAGGGGACTAACAAATTCTAATAGGGGACTAACAAATTCTAATAGGGGACTAACAAATTCTAATAGGGGACTAACAAATTCTAATAGGGGACTAACAAATTCTAATAGGGGACTAACAAATTCTAATAGGGGACTAACAAATTCTAATAGGGGACTAACAAATTCTAATAGGGGACTAACAAATTCTAATAGGGGACTAACAAATTCTAATAGGGGACTAACAAATTCTAATAGGGGACTAACAAATTCTAATAGGGGACTAACAAATTCTAATAGGGGACTAACAAATTCTAATAGGGGACTAACAAATTCTAATAGGGGACTAACAAATTCTAATAGGGGACTAACAAATTCTAATAGGGGACTAACAAATTCTAATAGGGGACTAACAAATTCTAATAGGGGACTAACAAATTCTAATAGGGGACTAACAAATTCTAATAGGGGACTAACAAATTCTAATAGGGGACTAACAAATTCTAATAGGGGACTAACAAATTCTAATAGGGGACTAACAAATTCTAATAGGGGACTAACAAATTCTAATAGGGGACTAACAAATTCTAATAGGGGACTAACAAATTCTAATAGGGGACTAACAAATTCTAATAGGGGACTAACAAATTCTAATAGGGGACTAACAAATTCTAATAGGGGACTAACAAATTCTAATAGGGGACTAACAAATTCTAATAGGGGACTAACAAATTCTAATAGGGGACTAACAAATTCTAATAGGGGACTAACAAATTCTAATAGGGGACTAACAAATTCTAATAGGGGACTAACAAATTCTAATAGGGGACTAACAAATTCTAATAGGGGACTAACAAATTCTAATAGGGGACTAACAAATTCTAATAGGGGACTAACAAATTCTAATAGGGGACTAACAAATTCTAATAGGGGACTAACAAATTCTAATAGGGGACTAACAAATTCTAATAGGGGACTAACAAATTCTAATAGGGGACTAACAAATTCTAATAGGGGACTAACAAATTCTAATAGGGGACTAACAAATTCTAATAGGGGACTAACAAATTCTAATAGGGGACTAACAAATTCTAATAGGGGACTAACAAATTCTAATAGGGGACTAACAAATTCTAATAGGGGACTAACAAATTCTAATAGGGGACTAACAAATTCTAATAGGGGACTAACAAATTCTAATAGGGGACTAACAAATTCTAATAGGGGACTAACAAATTCTAATAGGGGACTAACAAATTCTAATAGGGGACTAACAAATTCTAATAGGGGACTAACAAATTCTAATAGGGGACTAACAAATTCTAATAGGGGACTAACAAATTCTAATAGGGGACTAACAAATTCTAATAGGGGACTAACAAATTCTAATAGGGGACTAACAAATTCTAATAGGGGACTAACAAATTCTAATAGGGGACTAACAAATTCTAATAGGGGACTAACAAATTCTAATAGGGGACTAACAAATTCTAATAGGGGACTAACAAATTCTAATAGGGGACTAACAAATTCTAATAGGGGACTAACAAATTCTAATAGGGGACTAACAAATTCTAATAGGGGACTAACAAATTCTAATAGGGGACTAACAAATTCTAATAGGGGACTAACAAATTCTAATAGGGGACTAACAAATTCTAATAGGGGACTAACAAATTCTAATAGGGGACTAACAAATTCTAATAGGGGACTAACAAATTCTAATAGGGGACTAACAAATTCTAATAGGGGACTAACAAATTCTAATAGGGGACTAACAAATTCTAATAGGGGACTAACAAATTCTAATAGGGGACTAACAAATTCTAATAGGGGACTAACAAATTCTAATAGGGGACTAACAAATTCTAATAGGGGACTAACAAATTCTAATAGGGGACTAACAAATTCTAATAGGGGACTAACAAATTCTAATAGGGGACTAACAAATTCTAATAGGGGACTAACAAATTCTAATAGGGGACTAACAAATTCTAATCAAGAATAAAATGAAGACTCATAAATAAACAAACTTCATACTAACTAGACAAACTTGACATTATTTGCTTGGGATTTGTCCTCTTCTACTTACTGCTTCTGCATCACAATGTCACACATTCATGTGAATAATTGGGGCTTATGTTTTCAATGAAAGAACTGAGATTTCAACTATATTACACTGAAAATCAATTGTGAGAACAAGATGGAAAAATTTGTTACTAGCAACGTGGTCAAGCAAGACGAACTCAACACTGGAAACAGTTTTGAGGCATGAGAGTTAAATAATAGGAAGGCAGTTTTAGCTCCTGAGACATTTACGTAAGATTTTTCTACAAAATTAGACCTCAGAACTTAAATCTGTTTTCTTATGTTGTAGAGCTTTTAAAAATCATTATTGAAAGTCTCAATGTGTCCAAATTCATTGATGAAGAAATGATTACCGAGTGGTGTTCAAGTCTAAAATTTTAGTATGCATTTAGCAGATGGTCCTCAAGTAAATGTCCTAAATGCTAAATCCAGCACAAGACAGCATCTCAGCAACAGCAGCAACATCACAGCAGCACCAGAAGAATAGCAGATCAGCAAACTGATTCAACACAGATCATCACCAGTTCAGAAAACCATTTCAACTCGGCAGTGTAATGAGTAAAAGTGTCACATGAGTAGAAGTGTCATATGAGTAGAAGTGTTAGTGCTTCTTGCATTAAGGTCTGGTTACTTGTTAGACAGATTTGAATTAGACATAAATTCAGCAAATAGGAAAACAAAAGCATGAAAGGAGTAGCCTACTCCACAAGGTTGGCTTGAGATACACACACAAGTCAATAGGGAATTTCCACACTGGCTCTTTAATTCCAACTCTAAATTCATAATCAAGCAGGGGCCTCTTTATGTGGACACTAGTAAACCATAATGAGAAATAAACTTTCTAAAAATTACCCCATTTAGAGACTGTAAAATATTCAAAATCTACCAAAATAAGTAATTCTAAACAAGTAATTGGCTGGATTATAGCCCAAGAGAAGTCTACTAACCAACACACAAACTATAGCAAAGAAATCCCTAAAAATAAAATACATCCAGAACATTCTGAAGCTCCTAATAGGGGACTAACAAATTCTAATCAAGAATAAAATGAAGACTCATAAATACACAAACTTCATACTAACTAGACAAACTTGACATTATTTGCTTGGGATTTGTCCTCTTCTACTTACTGCTTCTGCATCACAATGTCACACATTCATGTGAATAATTGGGGCTTATGTTTTCAATGAAAGAACTGAGATTTCAACTATATTACACTGAAAATCAATTGTGAGAACAAGATGGAAAAATTTGTTACTAGCAACATGGTCAAGTAAGACGAACTCAACACTGGAAACAGTTTTGAGGCATGAGAGTTAAATAATAGGAAGGCAGTTTTAGCTCCTGAGACATTTACGTAAGATTTTTCTAGAAAATTAGACCTCAGAACTTAAATCTGTTTTCTTATGTTGTAGAGCTTTTAAAAATCATTATTGAAAGTCTCAATGTGTCCAAATTCATTGATGAAGAAATGATTACCGAGTGGTGTTCAAGTCTAAAATTTTAGTATGCATTTTGCAGATGGTCCTCAAGTAAATGTCCTAAATGCCAAATCCACCACAAGAAAGGAAGCATAATTTGAATGGAATTATAAAACTACAGTTAGCATTTAATTCACCCAAAACCCCCATTGAACTTAACTTCAAAGTCAAGAAGAAAAGAAATTACTCATAATACACTTGAACAACACTAAGAAACTTACAACATGAGAAGACTTACCAAATTTTGAACAAAAGTATTCAGGAGATGTTTGGTTTGATTATCCCTTAGCAACTGGGGAACATGATTCTTGAAAACCCTGTAAAATTGAATCCAACGGAAGGATGTCTAGTAGCAAGGTAACACAGTATCTGCTTAAGAAAACGCTAGCAAATTCCAGGAATGTCATGAAAAAAAAAAACTAACAACGGTATTTACATATACCAACACCAACCACCAAAACCTTGAATACCTATTGAGTTAGTATAAAAATGCACAGATCTTTGAAAGTAAACAGATGTTCCCATGTATGTGTATACATGTAAGCACATAACAAGAAGGGCTTTCAGTGTTCAATAAATTTTGTAACTAATTTCTTTAAAGGCATGGGTTCTACAAAATCAGTTCATTGTCAGAAACAGAACGTGCCAATCAGTGCCATGGTCTCAACTGGTGCCCATGGTGCAAATCAGATTATTAGCAGTCTCATCTATCAAGGTTGTGCCTGATCTAGAATTGGCAATTTCATATCAGAATGCTTATAAGGAATGCTTCAGGACTAGAAATATTTAAATTTTAAACACACAACATAGTCCTCAGTAAAGAATTGTGAACAATAATTTACCATGAATTTCCAGTAGCATTAGAAATAATGTCATAAATTATCCATGGATGAATACCAGCTTGGGCACCAAGAGAAATGGCCTCCACAAAAGAAACAAAATGAATTCCCTCAAGCAGCTCTATTACCATTTTAATTTTGCTGCAATTTATAAAAGAAAAGTAGACATTAACAATAACATCATCTAATATGATATTAGAACACCTAACATAAATAAACAAAGAAGAAGGGCCATTCCCCTGTGCCAATCCCTGTTAAATTGGGTTAAACACCTAGCACAAACAAATTTACTGTCCTGATGAAATAATCTGCGTATTATAGAAATATCAGCTTCAGCCAGCTATAAAATAGCAAAACAAAAGCAAAATGATCCTCTACTTATGTGAGGAAGAAATAGGATATGGGATATATAATCTTACCATTATTTTGCCATTCAAAACCTCTGACATTCCCTTAGAGACATATATAACTACATTGGAATATTCAAGAATCATTTAGTTGTAAGTTTATAGTAAATTAGATTTGACTTGGTTTACACAATCGCTAGTGTAATATTAGGTTAGGTGTTGTTTTTTACGCAAAGCCATTAGTTTTTTTTTTTAACCAAATTTTAATTCCACTTTTTGTTTCCGATATTTACATGTTATCAAAGCCATATCACTACTAAGAAGCAGCCTATCTGTTCTTGTATTCTTGTCAAGTAAAAAAAATCTCCTATGGTTTCCTGGTGCTGTCTTGTGAATTTTCTAGTCTCCAATGGTTCAATAGCTACATGCCGAATATTGTTATAATTTAGCAATAAAAAGAGACAAAATGCTATATATTAGCAACGTTGCTCCAATGATGACTTTGCTCCCTCCATTTATTCCCCCATTTCAACTATCATTTCAAAATAACAAGTACATGCTACTTAATCAAACTTTATTAACTTAATTTAGAGTTACATACTGCAAAATAAAATAACGTAAGACATAATCATGGAAGAGGAAGAACATAATAATCTGAGTTGCTTGATCATGCCAAAATTTTTGTGCCTGATCGTTCATTTAGAGGTATCTCAAGTCAGCTCTTGTGAAATGGATCCTGTGCTCTAACCATGATCACTTAAAATTGAAAGCATTTAGTGATGCAAATTGGGTTGGTTCAGTCGATGATAGACAAAATGCAAACATATGTGTGTATAAGAAGAGAACATGTGCCTACTTTTGGTGTCTCTCATTAGCCTTTTCCTGTATTTATCTCTCTTCTCTCTATCTCTCTCTCTCTCTCTCTCTCTTCTTGTCTTCATCTTTTACCCTAAATTTAATTGTCACCAATTTTATATGAAAATTTGTCTCAACAACACAATTCAAATTGTTCTAAAATCTAAACATGACAAAGAAATTGGTAAGATTGTGAAGAAATCCCACCTTCTAGCACCAAGTGCCCCCTCAAAAACATAAAGTTTCTCACTCATAGCTGTTTGAAAAACACAATAGTTTGTCTTAGAGATGTAATAGAAAATTTAAAAGTAGTGATCAAAAAACTGAATCCTCATGCAAGTGTTGCAGAGTAGTGACATAAGTAGATTGTACCAGAGAGAACAGGGCGTGCCCTTGTAATGGCATCCGACTGTCCTGATGAAATAATCTGCGTATTATAGAAATATCAGCTTAAGCCAGCTATAAAATAGCAAAACAAAAGCAAAATGATCCTCTACTTATGTGGGGAAGAAATAGGATATGAGATATATAATCTTACCATTATTTTGCCATTCAAAACCTCTGACATTCCCTTAGAGACATATATATCAACTACAAAAACTCTCTCCAAATCCTCTACTAGAGTAGAAACATATTAATGATTAGAGGAGTTAGAAAATGTTCAATGCAGATGTAAGTTTAGCACAAGCTGAGCAAACACCAAATTCTTTCTTTTGCTTTTCCATTAAGTTAGATGTAACCAGTAACCAGTAGACTTCTAGGGCATGTTTGATTGGGTGGATTAGAGCATGGGATTGGGATTATTAATCCGTGGCCCCAATTATCCTATGTTTGTTTTAACATTTTGGTTTAGGATTATTAATCCAATGGATAATTAATCCAACAAATTTGTAGGATTATTAGTAATGGGGTAGGGGTGGGATTATTAATCTCATAGATATTAATCCAATTGGATAGTGAATACCACACTAATTTAATAGGATTATTAATACTTCAGTATTAGTCTTGTGAATCAAACATGACCCTAAGGCATAAATTTGGTATAACAGTAAAGAACACATTATTATTGAATGTTCAACTCTCTTCTCTTTTCTTTTCTTTTTTTCTTTTTTGCTTTTTTTGATAAGTAAATAAAGTATAGATTCATAGAACACAAAGGGTCATCACCCTTGTACATTAGAGATTTGTAGACAGAAGAACAAAAAATAAAACAAAAAAAGAAAGATAGACATTAAACCTTCCCCAAAAGATAAACAAAAAAAGAAAAAATAAAATGATTTAACTATGAACTTTCTCCCTTGTCCTTTCATTTCAACTCACCTCCCCTGCCCTCATTAACCTTCATATCAATAATGGAGGGCATGATCCACTAGGCAGAGTTAAAAAGTTGCTAAAGCTCTATAATCTCATTAATGGAAAAATAAAGATAAGAACAACTATGGCCGTCTATGATAAATCTTGAGTAAAAATGATGAAACAGAAAAAAAAGAAAAGAAAGAGTATCATAACACACTGTTGATCTGATCCCTGGTTTTTCTATTTGTCAGTGAGGAGATGGCCAAAGAAACATCAGACAACATCTTCTGAATTGTATCAGAAAGTACTGCTGCAACACTAATTCTATACAAATATTTTTTTTATCTAGAGAAAATAAATTGCCTATGAGTCGCTTCTTGAGCTTCTGTATATGAGCAGGTAGTATGGTTGAATGGAGAATGATGACAGCATCTTTGCGTAACCCTGCAAAACCAGAAAATAGTATATTCTGAACATCAACCAAGCAGACTAATTATAAATTCAGAAAACATTAAGGATATCCACAAAACCTTTTAAAGCACTCTCATGACCAAAAAGTAGGTCATTTATTTGATCTGCATGAGATATCAATACAACCAAAGGTACAACATCTGCATGCAAAGAAATGAGAGAAGGAAGCATCAGAAAGTCAATTTTTAGCTCTTCAAAAAAATAAGGTCACAATTTATAGAGAAAATAAAAGAAGAACATATTCAGTCAACTATGATCCAAAAGTATATATATATATATCATTGTTTTTAGGTGTTTCTTTAGGTAGCTAAATGTACTGAGTTTTTGGTGCCTTCTAAGTTTTTAGGTGTTTCTTTAGGTAGCTAAATATACTATTCGAAGTCATTTTGAACCCTTATATTCCTTTTACTAATCAAAGTCATTTAACCCCTTATCTCCCTTCATACCAATCAAAGTTTATTAATTACAATCAGAGTGCTTTTGGAATCAAAGTTAAAGTCATTGCTTTTGGAATAAAAAATTCAAAGTCATTCAAACACACAGCAAAATTCATTGCTTTTGGAATAAAAAATTCAATCGCGAAAAAACACACAGCAAAATTCATTGCTTTTGGAATAAAAAATTCAAAGTCATTCAAACACACAGCAAAATTCATTGCTTTTGGAATAAAAAATTCAAAGTCATTCAAACACACAGCAAAATTCATTGCTTTTGGAATAAAAAATTCAAAGTCATTCAAACACACAGCAAAATTCATTGCTTTTGGAATAAAAAATTCAAAGTCATTCAAACACACAGCAAAATTCATTGCTTTTGGAATAAAAAATTCAAAGTCATTCAAACACACAGCAAAATTCATTGCTTTTGGAATAAAAAATTCAAAGTCATTCAAACACACAGCAAAATTCATTGCTTTTGGAATAAAAAATTCAAAGTCATTCAAACACACAGCAAAATTCATTGCTTTTGGAATAAAAAATTCAAAGTCATTCAAACACACAGCAAAATTCATTGCTTTTGGAATAAAAAATTCAAAGTCATTCAAACACACAGCAAAATTCATTGCTTTTGGAATAAAAAATTCAAAGTCATTCAAACACACAGCAAAATTCATTGCTTTTGGAATAAAAAATTCAAAGTCATTCAAACACACAGCAAAATTCATTGCTTTTGGAATAAAAAATTCAAAGTCATTCAAACACACAGCAAAATTCATTGCTTTTGGAATAAAAAATTCAAAGTCATTCAAACACACAGCAAAATTCATTGCTTTTGGAATAAAAAATTCAAAGTCATTCAAACACACAGCAAAATTCATTGCTTTTGGAATAAAAAATTCAAAGTCATTCAAACACACAGCAAAATTCATTGCTTTTGGAATAAAAAATTCAAAGTCATTCAAACACACAGCAAAATTCATTGCTTTTGGAATAAAAAATTCAATCGCGAAATGCCCTGAATTCAATCGTGAACAAATTCAATGAACAAACAGAGAGATGGGAAATGAAGACAGACCTCAAAGGCTTGTACGGCATAGCCAGAGCGAAGGAGTGAGGAGGCCAATTGCAAGCTCAGTTGGTCCAAGCCAACAAACCCAATTACACTCTGAGACGCCATTGGAGCGAGTTCAAAGGACATTTATAAAGGTTAGATTTCCTCCATCAAAAGAAATTCCCAATGCACAATAAAGTATTCCCAAGTAAAACTCCATGTCACATAAAATGGGAGTAACAGATAACCTTTGAACTTATATATTGTTCTCTATTTTTCTTTTTCTTTTTCTTTTTATATTATCTCTTTCACACTCACACACAACCACTCACTCACTCATTGGTGTGCAATAATGTGAGATCTCTTTTGTACATCATTTTGTTAGTAGTTACCACTAACCAATAAAGAAAATGGAAGATTTTTTTTGTCTCCATGCCATGATTGGTTGAGCTCTAGCATGGAGTTTATATCCAATCAAGAAAAAGGAACATTAGAATGCAAGAGCAAGTGTTATTTATGTCAGGAAAAACTGATATAGAAGATATTCACGTATACTATTTGTCTATGTATACACATCCAGAATCCACATGGAATGTACAATATCAGCCAAGTGATCATGCCATGAAATGTTTTTGTTTGCATTTTGAATCATGTGGAATACCATGTTCCCATATAGTATCAATCGTGAAAATGGAGCATTTGAAAAAAATTTCCTCTAGCTCTATTTACAAACGTGGACAAAAACATGTTAAGTCTTCCACTTTACTTGGTAAGACCTCTTTTCTAGAATGAGTTACACAAACAACACCATTTGGTGCATTGTCAAGTGAATGTATTGAGATGTGCTATTATGCTTCGCACTTAACTGATGGGTATGAAGAAGCTAGAGATGCAGTGACAAAGTTAACATGTCGAATGAAAGAGTTATATGTCCAACATGTTGAATGAAACGGAATTAAAAGAAAAAGCAATG